CAAACATTGATTACCAGAAGGTGTTTAGTTACTAGCGGTTACGTTTAGACAATAATCATCATAAATATTAATAATCGTAATTATTTTGCTTGAAACGCGTAAATTTTACAAGGCATAGCTATTGCTGTGATAGTCTTATCGCAATGATGAGAATAGATCCTTTTCGAGTTTCAAATTACCGCTGTRTTTCTTGATTACAGACTCATTTGCTCAGGCTAAGCCTCGATTTTGTGAAGAATATTCACGTGTTCCAGTCAAGGTCCGTCAAGTTTCAAAGTGTTCGTATTTTTGAACTTGTGCATTCTTTACTTTACCGTTGGTATTTGCGAGTAATTAGACACTGATTTGAGGCTAAGCCTGAGTAAATGAGCCTGTAATCAAGAAACACAGCGGTAATTTGGAACTTGAAACTGGACTATTGTGCAAAGCAGGCATAATAGTCATCATATTTATTCATATACACTCGTATATTAGTATTAGTTAATGTGAGGCCATAATGAAAAGTCATAAGTTGATACTAGTAGGATTGAATGTGAACTCATTTCGAAAGCAAAAATGGTTGAAACGACCAAGATAGAAGAGGGTGACCAGAAGGAAGCCTACATAACCACCATAATCGGCACGTCAGTTTCATGTTAACAAAACATTCCCAAAAGACACGCCATGTTGGATGACAGCAAAAGGACTAAATCAACGATAGGCCAACGTGGTGGCTATGACGTCACATGGCGTCCAATATTTGTATTTCCAGCCTGTTAATAAGTTTTTTTCTTCCTTAAATCAGTTCTCCAGTCTTGTTTTAGAATCATAACTATTACTATAAATACCAACTGGGTGAAAAAACAATTTGGGGCTTCCTGTGCCAAAAAGTCGTAATGGACTGGGTCGGACCAAGGGGAGCCCACTAAAGAAACGCGATAATTTTGTTCCTCTTGTATTGCTGTATTTAGGCAGGGTTTAATAAAAATTAAATTCGCTGTACGTAATAAAGATTAATAGCTAATAATTAAGTAAAGGGCGTTATTGTACTTGTTATTTTGCTTTTCCTTGCCGGTGACCTTTGACCTTTGATGAGCCCTTTTTTGTTGCTCGCACGAGACTTTGAAACTGGCCTGCTGCTTTGCGCTGTTTTCTGTGGAGAAAAAGAACAAGTTTAAAAACTGAATCTAAGAAAATAATCGCGACCGTGACGGTACCGTGTGCCTGCATTATAATTGGACGCGCAGTGATCTCAGACGCCGTGCCGTAACCGTGACGGTACCGTGTGCCAGCATTATAATTGGATGCGCAGTGATCTCAGACGCCGTACCGTGACCGTGACGGTACCGTGTGACAGCATTATAATTGGACGCGCAGTGATCTCAAACGCCGTACCGTGACCGTGACGGTACCGTGTGACAGCATTATAATTGGACGCGCAGTGATCTCAGACGCCGTGCCGTGACCGTGACGGTACCGTGTGCCAGCATTAATAATAATAATAATATCTATCTATCGCACCATATAAGATGTCCGCCAGCTTACCTGAAACTCTCTAGACTATTTTGGAGTCCATGAAATCAACAGGTTCTTCGTCAGCTCCTTCACGAATCCAAGTCTTGGGACCTTTGACGTTTTGTTTGGCTAACTTTTTATCCTAAAGGAAGAACAATGATTGCGATCTTAGAAGTGATGAAACGATTTGGTGGGGTAAGGCCATCATCATGACGTGGACGACAATGACGACAACGACAAAGTTGATGACGATGATAATGATGAATACGATGATGGTGATAATGATGACGCTGATAGTGTTGATCATGATGATGATGATGATGATTTATATTCGTAAGAGGGGAAATTTTGATAAGATAAAATAATTATCTGTTTGAAAGGGTAAGTGTTTTTTATTGATATTGAATTATTTCATTTACTTTGTGAAATGATTAATAAAAGAAGTTGATGCTATTTTGGGGGGTGGGGTTCATTTGCTAAAAGCAATTTTAAAATAATTAAAACTGACAATTGACATTTACATAACACATTGACTATTAATTTTACAATGCTCTATACGATTAGAAACATTAATATATAATTTTATAAATTGTTTATCAATAATTTGTGTAAAAAAGAAATACCTTTCTGGGACTTGGTCCAGAGTAGTTTTCTTGCAAAGTGATGAAACTCGAACCGTCTGCCTCCGTTAAATGTTTTACACAAATGTGTGTAACTCCGGCAATTTTATCGAATACCGGAAAAAGACGTTTTGGGCAAGCAGCTATTGAGCCGCTGCAAGGCTCTGTCGCTTTAACCGTTTAAGACCGTTTTTTTGCCTTAAAACCCCACACGCCCTTGCCTCTTGTACTTCTACTCTAGCGACTTTGAGAGAGCATGTGTCACTCGAGTTTCTCGAACGAGCCGCAAAAAAACAAGGCTTTTCCGTAGCCATTTTTTCTCTTGAGGTATAAACCGAAGGTTTGCARCTTTAAACAATTCTTTTTAAATGACAACATACACTATCATGGCTTCCTTGCGAAGGCGGGGAATTTTCGACGCGTGCTGATTTTTTTCCGCGCCATTTTCTCACTTTTCTAAAATCATCAATCTCTACAAGACGAATAACAAGTCTCAGGACATTCTAAAAAAATGTAAGTTTATTTGTTCAGTTCCTAGCTGAGAACGCTAAACATTTGGATACTAATTCATAGTTCATTGTCACTTTTGGATTGATTTACAAGTTGGCAAGCAATTCTGCTAGATATAGTACGAAAAGTGCTTGCGAGTAGCGAGATTGTGGAAGAACAAGACCTGCACTTCAAGAACTTCGTTAAAAAAGTCGCATTTTATATTTCGTAGAACATTTATTCAGGATTTATCCACATACGATTTTATATTTGATGTTTTTCGTCACCTCTCGAACTCATTTAAACGCACCATGTTAAGTTACTACGTAACGTCACTGGACAGTTACAACTGTTACGACCCACGTACTTTCAAAACAGTTTGTTTAAAATGTAACTCTTGCAGAAGCCTC